TATACTTTAGATAATATGAGAAAAAAAAAGCATTTAAAAAGAAAAAAAAAAAAAAAAAAAAAAAAAACCACTCTAGTCAGGCCCGGCTTTGACCCATTTAACAAAAAATACCAGTCTAATTGCTGAACAAGTTTGTAATGGGTTGGTGCCATTTTTTTTTCATAAGGTCACACTATGGTCTATGGCATACAATGAAAGTTGAATATCTGCTGTTTTTGTTTTTTTTTTTTTCTTCTTATTCCTCATGGTAAAAGAAAATTTTCAACATCCCCATTCTCAATGACTGAAGTTATCTAGCTTGTTTTCCAACAAATCAACAATCCAAACCTTGATCATGTTATATAGATGAAGGAACCCGGACCAGCTGCAATACCAATCCGTTGCTATCTGCGTCATTGCCAATTAGGGGGTGCAAACGGGACACCTGATTTGAAGAATTTACAGTGCAGTAATCAGGCCAGGCCAGCCCTTCCAAATTTTCATTACTCATTAGTGTTCAACCCAGGTCCCAGGCCCAACCAAGCATGACATGGTCATCAAACTTTTCTTCCAAATCATACACACGTACGTATTTACATACAAGAATTCTCTGGCTGACCTATACAATGGAGCATCTTGGATAGTTATTTAAGGTTGCCAGCACCCAAAATAGCAACCTTCCTTGATTCCATTTACGTTGCAAGAACTGTAGGACTGCATCTCTATTATTTGTTTGCCAGTGAACCCGTCATCATTTTCTCCTCTGATGCTGTAAGTCTAGGACCCGGGTAATCTCAGTGAATCAAGTTGATCCGATTGGAGAAGTATGGTCAATCATGCATGTAAGAATCGGATTACCCATCCAGACCTTTTTACCAGTCTTCAAACCAGTCGGGAGTGTTGAGTTCTGGAATGTCTCGAGGCGGAGAGCATATAGGGTTGTAGGCATCCTCTCTCTGATTTTCTAAATGCTGAGCAATTCGCAAAGTGATCTCATGTGGAACAGGGAAGCTACAGTCTTCAAATTTTTTCCAGTCAATACCATTAAACCACGGATGACTTTTCACAGAATCGGGACCTCGGCTTCCCAGCCTTATATATTCATCAACTTCAAGCAACTAGACAGATACAAAAGAAGAGTCAGCTTTTGATCACAGCATCCTATTCCACTTCTTAGGCATGGACAGCTAAAAAGAAATAAGACCTTAGTTATGATATCAGCAGCTTGAGGGCTGAATGTTTGTGGAAGAGTGAAGTGTCCTTTCGCAATCCTTGCAAATGTTTCAAGCTCACTTTCTCTCCATGACCCAAATGGCATTTCAGCTTGAAGCATGAAGAAGATCAAGACTCCTAGTGCCCACCTGCAGATTGTTCATTGCGATCATTAAGTATAATTTGGAATTTTAATAATCAGCAACTCAATACAGTCTAGAGATACAGCAACAACAGGGAAAAAAAGTGTCAACATGAAACAAATCACTAACATGGTTGAGCAGCGCCAGGATTGTAAACGCACCCAGCCACTGATTTTTCAGTTTTACCTAGAGTGGAGATCTTATAAGGTTTCTGAAGCAAAGACTAAAATGCTCTCAGTTCTAAGCCTTTCCCAAGATGAGGAAAGATTCTGATAAATGACAAAAGTATTCCATCTTCCATGCATCTGTACAACTAAGCCTTGTCACAACTATATGGGATTGGCTAAACGAATCTTGTTCCACCAGTCCGCTTTGTTCAATGTCATATTCATGATTAAATTGTGGCCTCTTAAAGTCATTCCTCGGCAGTTTTAACCCATTTCCTTTGATCTTACTGCCCCTATTTATTCTAGATACTTCAACTTGTAACAAATCACTTCTAACTAATCTGTATGGACTTCTCTACACATGACTAAACCATCTTAGTCTACTTTCCCTCATGTTCACGTCTGTTGGAGCTACTCCTAGGCTCCTTCCAACAAGTTTGTTTCTATTTCTAACTTTTCTAGCTTTCTTACTCATCCATCTCAATGCTTGCAATTCTGCCAGTCTTTTATTTTACATGTTTTTTCTTTATTACCCAACACTCTGCTCCATACAACATTACAGACCTTATAACCGTTTTATAAAATTTTCCTTTCAGCCTAAATGGAATTTTCCTATTGCATAGGACTAGATCCAACCCATCTATTTTTCCAATTCTAATCTAATTCTCCCTTGCCATAGATTATCAAATCAAAGTGACAAAAGAGGTCACATGATGATATCTCTTGGTCTCCAATCCTAATTGTACCCTCTACTCCTATTATTATTAAATTTACATCGCATATCTGCTATTTTGGTCCCACTTATTTTAAAACCTCTTGTTCCAAAAGCATTTTTCTATAAATCAAATTTTGCATTTAATCCCTCTCTGGTTTCATCAATTAACACTATGTCATTAGAAAAAAAAAAAAAAAAAAAAAAAACATACACCATGGGACCTTCTCTAGTATGCATGTAATTAATTCAACCATAACTAATGCAAACAAATGAGGGCTAAGGTCTGAGCCTTGGTGAAGAAGTCCCCTCATAACTGGAAACTCTAGTGTCTCTCCCAGAAGTGTTCTAACATTGGTTGTTGCACCCACATATATGTCCTTAATTAGATTCATGTAATTTATTTGGTAGTATGTTCTTTTCCAAATTCCACTGTATTATCCTTCTATTTGTCACATTCAATTATTTAACAGCATAAAATATTTCAGTGTGGAGTAACCACTTTATTCAAGGTGAACAAAGATTTTCTCTGAGGTGCAATCATTTTTATTTTTTCTTTTTATACTATAAATGATGAAAGGAGATAATATCTGCATTTACACTGAATTCAAAGTAAGAATCTTTACCAGTCAGCAGCAAGGCCATGACCATTCCCCTGGACAATTTCTGGAGCCAAAGAGTCTGCCATCCCACATATTGTGAATGTTCTTTCACTGGATAACCTCTTCCCAAATCGGAAATCCACAAGCTAAGATACAGGAAAGATGCATGGTTATAAGCAACATGAATGATAATATCCATTTCTTTCTTTTTTGAATAAAAGATCCATTTAATATCAAATTGCATGCATGCAAATGTTAAGAAAATAATGTATCTCAGCATAATCCAAGGCAGACCTGTAAATGACCTGTTTGGTCAAACATTAGAACATCTGGTGACACGCCTCTGTAGAGAACTCCATGCTGAAGTACAAATAAAATGAAAAAAAGTGGGGAATGAAACCAAATATCAGTATAGCCACATTCTGCAGTAGGCTATTCAATAATAAATCATTTGTAATCCAAAACCTCTGGAAGAGAAGAGAAGGGTAGAACTTTGTATATCAGGACATAACGGACCTTGTGTAATTCTTCTAGTGCAATAACAACAGAAGCAGCACAGAATTGAGCAGATGGTTCATCTAGTGGTGTGTGAACTATTGAAGCAAGGGAACAAGACAAGCATGAATTTAGTAAAATGCCAACATGTTCTTGATTGGCACAAGTACACAGAACTTGAGGCACACAAGGTGAAGGGCTCAAACTCTTCATCAGATCTTTCTCTTTCAGGACATGTACTTCTTTCCCAAGCTGCTTAATCTTCTGCTTTGAAAATCTTTTCAAGCTCAACAAGTTTTCTGGTAGCCAATCAGATTTACAAGAAGGCAATAATCACATGGCTATTCATGATAAAGCGAATATCCATAATGTCATGCATGATGTATCCATGAATACCTCCTAAAGTAACAAATAAAACAGCCAATGGAGATTATGCTCTAGAAACTTTACTAAAAGAAAAGGTTGTAACGTTTACTAATATATGACAACCTGAGTCTTTCAAAAGTACAATCCCTATCTCACTGCAGTCAGTGGAATATATACACTTTTTCCACTCCTGGAAAAAGAAAAAGCCACATAATGTTAGATATCCGGCTATTTCTAGAATAAGACTGTAAACAAAAAGATGCCAACTAGGATGAAGCATGCAAAACCATTGGAGCTATGAAATCCTTACCAAATCAGAGAGCTGAACTTTAGCAAAACTTGCAGCATCTATATTTCTTGACGATTCCTTAGCAATACTCAAAGAATAATCTTTTGACCTGATTGCCATGACTTAGCAATGTAAAGAACATAGTGTACATGGATCAAAGGGTATAAGCATTCATAACATGTAAACATGAAACTCATAAGATAAAAGAGAAAAAACAATTTTAAGAGCTCCTCAAGAAAGATTTATAACATCTTCATGGGCAAGAATTATGACATACTTGTGATCATCCTCAGAAAGCTTTTTTAAGGGTCCAACAACAGAATCAAACTTCTCCTTTGATAAAATTGCGCAGACTACATCACCCACAGCTACTGCACTTAAGGAACCAATATGTTCACCAAGAAGTGCCCATTCACCAAAGTAACTTCCCTCTGCCTTGTCCACTGAGAGTTGTTTATTGATCTCAGTATGATTTTCCTGTTCAAGGTCATCAGATAAGAGACTGCAAACATTTGGACTTGTTATTAAGTCCATGTCACAAGTGATTCTGACTCGACCTTTCTGGATAATATACAAAGCAGAAAGACCTTCATTCTGCAAAAACATGCCAGTAACTCATAAGTGAATGAGTATAGTGTAAGAGAAATGGTTTGAAATGGAAAATGGGGTACCCTATCTATTATTGTCTGGCCATCTGAGAATGAAACTTCGGAAAGAGAATCTGCAATATGACTCAGCTGTAAGATTGTCAGCCTTGAAAGAAGCTCTACTGAGCGGAGCAACTTCAATGATGACAAGTTTGAAAATTCTGACATAAGAATTCCTCGGAAATCTTCTCTTTTCAAAGCCCAGAGAGTCCCACTAGTCACTGCTCGCACAGAAGCCTGGAGTGGTTTGTTGTACCTATTTTACCATAATTGCCCAAGAAAAGCATGGTCAGTAAACATTTTTTTTTAATCCAAATAATTTATTATTCAAAATTGTGTACTTTAAATCAATTGTAGCATAAGTTATGCTTATGCAACCAATCAAAAAAAGCGATACATATGAGATTCAGTAGACAAAACTGAGTTACATTTTACAAAAATGCTACCTGACCAAACCAGGTCAAATGAATCACATTCTTGCAAGGTGTTGCAAGTTGACTTGGTGTGATCAGTCACAGAATCGTGAGTAGGGGTGAGCAAAAAAAACCGAAAAACCAAACCGACTGAAACTGAACCAAAAAATCGGTTAACCGAACCGGTCAGTTCGGTTTCGGTTCGGTGTTTTTAAAAAAAACCGAAGGTACCGGCTTGGTTTCGGTTAACCAATATAGAAAACCGGCGGTTAACCGAACCGACCGGTATACATATATTTCTATATGTTTTATATATATTTATGTATATTATATATATTTTATATTTTTATATATTATAAATTAATAAATATGCATTATATATAAATATATATATGTGATATATTATTTATTATTTATTATTTAAAATATAATATTTTAGATATATATTATAATTTTTTTTATTATATATTTATAAATGTTGAAGATTAATTAGTTTTATGATGTTTTTCTGAGTAGATGTTTTATGTTAGTTGTTAGATAGGAGGTGGGGACCACAGTAGTTATGTGAGTCCAAATTTTATTATGTTATCTGAGTAGATGTTTTATGTTAGTTGTTAGATAGGAGGTGGGGACCACAGTAGTTATGTGAGTCCAAATTTTATTATGTTTTTGAGTGTTATATATGCTGTTTTATGTTTTGTCGCCCTATAAGGGCATAGTTGTCTTTATACTGTTCTATTATTTTAGTATAAATAATAAGTGAAGGGGGAGGCCAGATTATTGCTCTCTTTTCTTTTCAACTTCTCTTCCTTCTCTCTTCAAGAAACTACTTTCTTTCATATTTTTTAATTCAGTAGATTCCTACTTGGTATCAGAGCATTAGCTAGGGTTTCTTGAAGCATTCTCATGCAGCCCTAGATCAGCCGACTGCATGAAATAGTAAAGGGCTGATCGATCTGCTATAGATTGCCCAGTTCTTGGAGTTTTTGGTGGGATCTAGACATCAGGAAGGTGATCTACTGTTCGGCATCAAAATCAGGAAGAACTAGAGTACGGGGAAGAGTCCCAGAAAAGTTGGACTCTTTGTTTTTGATCTAATCTTGGGCGCCCAGGTATTGT